GTAGTTCAATAAAAACGGAAACGGTGAACGGTAAACGGGAAACGGCAACGGAATCGGAAATAACATTGCATACTTGAAATTAGTGTTGAAAATATTCAAGAAAAAAAGTCGATGTGAAAAGCAAACGAGAAATAAAAGTAGAAAGCATAAAGAAAATAAAACATAAATCAGTTCCTGAGAAATACATAGTCAAACAAGTGTTACGTCCTCTTCATAAGTTAAGCATTTGATTAGCATATAGTAGACAGATCCCTAGACTAGTTAAGAGCTAAAGCCACAACAACGACAACAACAACAACAACAACAATGCACACCAGCACAGATCCTATGCACGCCCTGCACGACTGCTCCTCGCAGTCGCCGCCCCTGCACAAGGCACAGCGCGGCGGTCTCGCGTCCTCTCGAGCCTCGATTGCCGCCGCCGCCGCCGCTGCGGATGAAATATCCATGATCTGCGATGACAGCGACTTTGAGTCAACGCCAGCCGGCGGCAGCAGCAGCAGCAACGGCGGCGGCGGCGATAATAATAACGGCACCGCCGGCGGAGGCGGAGGCGGCGGCAGCAACAGCACCGGCGGCCCGCTGGTGAAGCCGCCCTACTCCTACATAGCCCTGATCACCATGGCCATACTGCAGTCGCCGCACAAGAAACTCACACTCAGTGGAATATGTGATTTCATAATGTCCCGGTAAGTTTTTAATTACCAAATTAAAACGGGTTTAGTATGCCAATTGGAATGAATAGACAACATTTCTAGGAGGCTACGTTGAATAAAGTTTACTAAGTTTGGCATTTGTTAAAATTGATTCAATTAATTAATTTGAAATGATTAAAACTGTCTATTATAAATCTAATAATATGTTTATTTAACACTAAATTCAAATCGGCAATTTAATTAAATTAATTATTAATTATATTGCATGTTATACATTTTTATTTAATTTTATTTTCATGTTAGTTTTATTTAGTAAACATGAAACCAAAAGTACATATACACAAATGATATATGTATAAAAACAAGAAAATACATTTTATTAAGTTAATCTTGACTGTATTTTTGTTTATTTTTATTTTTTTAAGTAATAACTTAGTATATTAATTTAATTTATTTTATTTTGATATAAAATACTTACCAATTAAAATACAAAAAATTCATTTGAGCAAATATCATCATAAATATTTTTAGAAATACATTTTTGCCTTTAATTGCTGTTTTATTTATTTATTTATTAACTAAACTAATTTTTCATATTTTAAAATCCAATTTAATAAGGGTTTTCTAATTTATTCTCATTGTTTTATATTATTTTAAGCTTAATTTGATTTTAGTTTGTCATTATAAATTTTTTAAAATACTAATATTATTTAATATGCATTTTTAGTTGTCACAAAAATTTTAAAATACTTATATTATTAAAATCATTATTTTCTTTATTTATATGTATATGTATTTAGTGATAATCGAACTACATAAATTATAATAGTAATTTTATTTTGTTTACATAATTTTTACATAATTTTAATTAATAATTTCTTATACTCTTATTCTCTTAGCAAAAAAGTTTTTCTTTAATACATAGCGCAATAGACTATCATAATTAAGTTGTTATTTAATATAACTTGATTATCTGTGCAAAAAAAGACAACAAATTTTTGGATATTCGCATGCACTATGTATTAAAACAATTGATATCTTTGCAGTTTTCCATACTACAAGGATAAGTTTCCCGCTTGGCAGAACTCGATACGGCACAATCTCAGCCTGAACGATTGCTTTATAAAGGTGCCGCGCGAGCCGGGCAATCCGGGCAAGGGCAACTTCTGGACACTGGATCCGCTGGCCGAGGACATGTTCGACAACGGCAGCTTCCTGCGGCGACGGAAGCGCTACAAGCGAGCGCCGGCCATGCAGCGCTTCTCGTTTCCGGCGGTGTTTGGCACCTTGTCGCCGTTCTGGATACGGAAGCCGGTGCCGCTGGTGCCGGTGCACTTCAATGTGCCCAACTTTAATGGCAGCCGCGACTTCGATGTGATGCACACGCCCAGCGATGTGTTCGACACGGCGCTGCGTGTCGATAAGAAATTCAACTTCTTTGCCAATGCCGAGGCCTCGTTCTATCAGAACAACAGCGACAAGTTCGACCGCTTGTCGTTCATCAATCGCCGCGCGGACGTCATTGATGCACTGCCTCACAGCAGCAGCACCGGCGTTGCCGGCAGCGGCAGCGGCGTCGTCGGCGATGCCAGCAGAGCCAACAAGTACAAAAATCCATATGCGTTCGATGTGTCCGCAGCGGCGGCCGGGCTCGGCCCAGTCGACTATGCGGACCGAGCCAGCAATAGCTATGCCGATCTCAATGTGTACAACGATGATGTGGATGCCGATGATACCTCGTGCGACAAGATCGACGTGGAGAGTGCCAATGAGCACGAGCAGGACTCGCACATATCGGACTCCGTCGACTCGGTGTGCACGAATCCAGCCCGATTGGAGGTGGCCTCAGAGGCCACCACACGCGACCCAGATCCCGAGCCGGAGCGCAACTCGCCCTATGGGCTGCTCTTCGAGCAGACCGAGGCATCCAATGGCTCACTTGCGATTACGTCCAGCCCGAAGACGCCCGCCCGATCACTGACCCGATCCACTCTGCTCCACATTGACGCGGAGCCCGCGAACCTGAGATGCGCCAGGCAGACAATTGCCAAAGACTTTCGCATCGAGACGCTGATTGGCCACGGGCACAGCGATGGGGCGGCCAGCGACTAGAGAGCCGAGATGAGATCTCCCTCTCTCCATCTCTCGCTCCCTCACTCTGTCGGCATATGCCGCCTGCCATGGGCATATTTTAACACTTCTTCTGTACGTTGTAAACTTTAGCTGTAGTGAAAAGCACGGACCCATTGATGTAACCACCTGCCCAACCCACCCATCTCCGACAGCACCCAGTGTAGCATTCTCCTCCACGCATTCCCCCAGGTACGAAGATTTCAATGCGACCAAATAAACGCGCCAGTTGCGAGTCCACATCAATTGTATAAATTATATAGAGAACACTCACACACACATACACACACACGCGCACACGCAACTCTATATTTATGCCCGAATGTAAGGAGAATATATACATATATAAAGAAATTACATATTTATAGCATACTTTTAAACGATTGCATATGGTATATATGTATGTATGTATGTATGTGTGTGTGTCTACTACAACTACATATACATATGTATATGTAAATGCACTTCTCTCTCTATTTGTGTGCGCGTATTCACATACACACATACATATATGTACATATATTGTATGCCAATGCGCTCAGCACATACAAACACTATTAACTTTAGACGTAGCCACTAAGAGATTTGCTGATGTTATTGAAAATTTAATAAAAACTATAATTAGAAGATGAAACTCTTTTTTGATAATAGCATACAATATGTAAGTATAATGGATCAAGTAAGTAAAGGAATAACATATTGAAAAAATGAAAATAGTTTAAAATTAGAAAGCTTATAAATTTTACATAAATTTTATTCTTAAAAATTGTATTAAATATTGTCTTTTATTTCATTTTGCTTTATAACATTTTTTAATATAATTTTTTTTTTTTTTTTATTATATCTCTTCTTATACATGTTTTCATGTTTTAATTATTAATATTTTACATTATTATGTATTATTTTTATTAATAATTATAATTTAGTTTTTACTCAGTTAAACATTATTATATTTTAAAGTTTTTATATGATAAGTGCTTTACTTAAAGTAAAATATTTCTACTTTTTTTTATAACATTTTTGTTTAATTTAAAGGTTATTTTATTTTATTTATTGTTATTTTTTATTTATTTATTGTTATTTTATTGTTATTTCATTTTTTTTTTTTTAATATATCAATTAAATTTAATTTACCTCATAGTGCCTTATGTATGCATGTTATTCAGAAATTGAAGTAATTATGTCGAAGAAGAAGTTGAAGCCACAGTCAAGCAAGAGTATTAAAGCTGTTGATTAACAGAATGTTAGAGTCTTAATTGACGAAACAATTAACAGCCAACTGTGCGCCTTGACACTTGCAACAAGTTCAATGTAAATGTAGCTGTCTCCTTCAGTCACAGTCTCGCTCTGTCTCCTTTCCGATTGTCTGATAACTTTTTGTTAGCGACTGTCAAACCGCTATTTCGGCTGTCAAAAAGCTGGCGCATGCGCCATTCCCATTGGCGTTCAGCTGTTTGCTGCCGCGTTGAGTATGCGACGCGTCGGTGGAGGAAAGCTTTGCGGCGCTTGGCAAAAGCTCTGCGCGGACAGTGCTCTGAAGTATTTGCAGCGTGGTATTCCAGTGTTAAAACATTAAAAGCTAGGCTGGAAAAAGGACAACAGTTAAATAGAAGATACCAACACTATTGGTATCCAGTAGTACGGAGCTGCAAACTCCACTTGGCATATTTCCCCACACACACGCACACGCTCATACACACACACACACACACACACAGGCGCACACACAGCAAAAAGTCGATTTTTCACCAACATAAAGTTGTATATGTGCAAAACTTTCGAATCGCAGGATATATTCAATGCAAACGCGAATAAATTTAACGAAAAGCAAAAAGAAACTGCCATCAATTAAAATAGAATTAATATAAACTACAAACTTTGCAAAATGTGTGTGATATAGACGTGTAAAACATTTTGTTTTTCATACCAAAATGCTGAGCTCATCATAGAGCGTAGAAAAGTTCTGCCAGCAGCAGCAGCAGCAGAAGCAAAAGGAGCCTTCGCCTCCCTCCCCTCCATCAAACTGCCCCCGTGCCGAGCGTTGGCCTGTTGTTTGTGATGTTATGTTTATGGTAATGAGAAAGGTGATAATTTGTGTGACTAAACGCCTTAAAGGCTGTTGAGCAATGCGTAGCGGCCGGAGGCAGACGACAACAGCCTTACCCTAAGCCAGAGCCGAAAAAATTTCAAATTGGAATTGCGACCGCAGGCAACAGCCAATTGCTAAGAGCTGAGAGCCAAAAGCGTTTTACGTCCGGGTTAAGATAACGTTAAGCACAAGCTACGGCTGCACAACGACAACAACAACGACGAGGACGACGACCAGGACCAGGTCGACGACTAGAAAGCGCACATGGCGAGCTGGAGCTGGAGCATCTTGTGCGCAACGCTGTTGGCCGGCCTCACGTTACTCACGGGTAAGTCCAGACATACAGGCAGACACCGAGAGATAGAGAGAGAGGGAGAGAGTCAGAGTGGCGGTAGCTTATTCTAATCCTAATCCTATATATATATGTATATGTTTAGTGACCCATACGGTGCGCATTACCAATCTCCGTGTGCCGCACACTTACACACTCGAACGTGATAATGAGCCCGATCCTTTGGTGTTGGACTGCGAGTACGAGATTGGGCCAAGGGAGAAGGGCTTTGTGCTCAAGTGGCTGTTCAATAATCATTCCATCTATCAGTGGATACCATCCGTAAAGGGTTTTGCCATGGTGAGTCATTGTCACCCTATTTCAGCTCGAAAGGTGCAAAAACAAAAACAAAAACAAAGCTCAAACAAAAAATTAATTAACATAAAATTTGCTTTCTTCTTGTTCTTCTCACATTTGTTGTTGTTGCGCCTCTTGTAGGGCTTCATGAAGTCAAAGATAGACACCAAAATATTCACCATGGAGGGCAGTCCCGGTGTTATATCGATAAAGAATCCCGACTGGAACATGACGGGGGAATACACCTGTGCCGTGCAAACCTTTGAGTCCACGGATAAGCGAAGTGCCCGCTTACAAATAATCGGTATGTGAATGTGAATGTGAATACGAATACGAATACGAATGTGGATGGGTTTGCAATTTACATATATGTATATAAAGCCATTGTTTTCTTTTTATTTCAATACTCTATGAGTGTAGAGGTTATATGGATGTGTGCATCGGGATGAACATATTTGTTGATTAGGCTATCGAATGTTAGATTTTGATCGAATGCATTGAGTAGTTGGATTTCTTATTAGATCATAACTTATAAGGCGTATATTTAATTCATTCATTTTCTTATTCAATAGTTTTATACAAAATCTTAATAATAAACATATTTACATATATGTTATTTTTATCAAAACTGTCATTAATTCTGTGAGATATAATAAATAAGATGTTTATTGACTTCTAAGATTTTGATTTGATATAATTATATATTTTTATAGTGATTTTATATTTATTATTGCAAAATTAAATAAAATCTTCCTAAACAGATTAAAATGTAAGAATAGATATTTATTATTTTACATGTTTTAGTTAAGTTTTTACAAACTTAAATAACATATTATCAATGATTTGTAATTTTTTAGTAGTTCTATTTAGTATTTTTTATATGAACTTAAATTTCCTATTAATATATATGAATTCTTCTTCGTAGCCTTTGAGAGTAAATAATAAGTCGGCTCTATTGAGCTCCATTTTACTCACCTGTTTATGGCGTGAACTTGTTTGCATAGGTGTTGGCTAGGTGTGCTGCCACATGTGGGTGTGTGACTGTGAGTGTGTGTGTGTGTGTTTGTGGCACGTGCGACTCATATTTGCATGCGTGTCATGTGGCAGTCGCTGCGGTTATAAAGCGCCCAGCCACCAGCCAAGCGCCGCCTCTTGTTTTTGTTTGTATTTTTTTTTGTTTTATATCAAAAGTTTTGTTGTTGTTGTTGTTGTAGTTGTTGGGGTTTTTTCTGGTTTTTTGTTTAGTTTGACACTTGATTAATTCTCACGGATTTTTTGTTCGCTACATGTCCTGTGACCAATCTACCCACGCCCCCCTCTGAACACCAACTCGATTGGCAAACAGTTCCTGAGTCGGATTTCATGCTGGAGGCACGCATGGGGGGCGAGCAGACAGATGTGGACATAATGTGTGCTGTGCAGAATGTTTTCCCACAGCCGGTGCTATCTGTCATGTAAGTAAAGATCAGCATTTATGATGGATGCACAATATATCTATAATCTCTCTCTTATACTCTGTCTTTCTTGCTATCTCCCTTTAGTTTTGATACACATATATTGGACTCGGTGCTGACGCAATTGGATCAAAATCCCAGTGGCCTGTACAGCATGACAGTGCGAACGCGCATTCCTAGAGATCAACTCGAATCACCCACACCGATCACATGTGCGTTTTTCCTGCTCGGCACTAACTATACCAAGCGCAGGGAGACTATTTTCTATGGTAAGTAGAGGTAAGCTGGCAGGCAGGCGGGCTCCCCCCCCAACTCTCTTAAACAATTCTTAATCGAAGTCAACTCTCCTTCTTCTTCTTCCATTTCTCTGGGACGCCAATCGCCAATGCAGATAAAGCCACAAATATACAACGCAAATGGACAACAGTCGCCGTAGTTATGTCGATCGCATCTTTAGCTTTAAGCAGTTAGTTTGGTAGTGTTTTTGTAGGCTATGTACGTATTTGTTTTTATGTTCGTATAGAATGTTTAAAAGAAAAATTTCATTTTTAAATAGAATTTTAAAACGATAAACGTAATTTTTTGCGGTATTTTTAAAAAAGCGCTTATTTTGTAAATGCATGTAAATGTAAGAGAAACGAATGATACACACGCATACACACCTATAAACACATACACGCATAAACATACAAACAGACAAAATTAAAAAGAAACAACAACAAATATACATGAAACATTTAACTGAACACATAACACAACAAGCAGAAACAAACAAACAAGAACAACAAAAACTAAGACAAATTATTGTATTCATATATTTACCATATAAATTAAAAAATATATATATAAATAGTTATGTATGATGTATAGGTCTAATTGAGTACAGAAACGCTAATAAAAAACGAAAAAATTAAAAGTGCATTAAATTAAATGTGTTCTCAACTGTTCTTCGTAAATAAATTAATAATATCTATGTCCACTGTCAATTTGTATACTTGGCATTAAATATATACATTCAAAGATAACGCTTTTAAAACATTTGGTATTTTTTTGCACTTTTAGCACATGGCGCCTGTACACTGCAGCCCTGCACTGTTTGCTATCACTTGCTTGTGCAGCCCTGGTGCGCATGTACGTACTAGCACTTCCAGTGCTCCTTCCAATGCGCCCATGAGTATGCAGTGAAAATGACAGCACTGGCAGCAGCAGCAGCAGCAGAGAAATCAACATCATTGTGAACTGAAATTGCAAAAAGTTGACGCCATAGGCTAGACGATAGGCAGAGCCAAGGTTTCTGCTCCCTTGGCCCATTGATTGGATAATCCGCGAGCCATATTAACAACAGTTTAGCAGCCACAGAAAAAAAATAACAATTTTTATTCAGCATGTCCTAGTATTAGTAGCTGGAAACGTGGACGACTCTCACTTCAACTGTTGGCAGAGCAACAGCAGCAACAGTAGCAGCAGCAGCAGCAGCAGGAGGAGCAGCTAATGCGGCAGCATGGCGTCCGCCGACGGCGACACCATCAACACCATTGACCTGGACAGCTCCTCAACATCGCAGGCTAAACTAGCGGAGCCGAGCAATGGTAATTTACTAAGCAAACAAACAAAGTTGCAATAAACAAACGCATTTTTGCCAACGTAAAACCGAAAAAAAAGCTCACAACAAAAGTTTGTGGAAAACAAAGACGAATTCGCTACGAGCGCAGACAAAAAATCAATGAATGGCAAATGGAAGTGGCCGTGGCGCATGTGTCTCAAAAACTAGGTGGGAGGCGGGGGGCGCGCCCCCGATTTGAGTGACTGGCTGCCTGCTTGACTGGCTGACTGCTTCACTGACTAACTGAGATACTTGTCTGAGCCAATGCCAACACATTTCCAATTGATATTTATATACATCACCATCAAGACGGACCTACATTAAAATCAAACGAAAACAAAAGAAACTTTCGAGCGGCCAACAACCTGTCAACTATTTATGGCTACGCAGCGTATGCCAGTATGTGTGCGTGCGTACGTCTGTGAGTGTGCGAGTGTGTGTGTGTGTGCGTTTGCGTGAATGTACCTAACCCAAGTTCAAGCTCAAGTTGATTCGTTTCCCACTTGGGTCATTCGCTATTCATGTCCAGCACATTATAAATTTTATATGAAAGCACCAACTAATAATATACTTTCCCAACTTGTAGTTTCCACCGACCATGTGGGTAACTCATCGCCAGACGTAAGTACACGCATAAGTGTTTAGTTTCTTCTATATAGAGCATTTTCTGTTTTACTCCTCAGCTGGGCAGTCGGCCTCCGCGCTCGGCCAACAAAGCGGACAAAGAGCGGAAAATTGGACACAGGCGAGTCGGCGAGGGCGGCGAGATTACCTACAAGAAGATACAGACGTCGCAAATTATGGGCTCCATACAGCTTGGCATACAACATACCGTAAGTGACTGAAGGAGACCTGTAAATATATAAACCGATTTATAATATCTATGTTTTGTTGGCAGGTCGGCAGCCTGGCATCGAAGCCAAAACGTGATCTACTTATGATGGACTTCTGGGAAATCGAGAGCATTACGTTTCCGCCAGAGGGTTCTAGCCTTACACCTGCCCACCATTATAGCGAATTCAGATATAAGATCTATGCGCCCATAGCATTTCGTTACTTTCGTGATCTGTTTGGCATACAGCCCGATGATTTTATGGTCCGTATTTGAAGCCAAGCGCAATAATTGTTATAAATGCTCTTGCTTTCTAGATGTCTATGTGCACTTCGCCACTGCGCGAACTATCGAATCCAGGTGCTTCCGGCTCTATATTCTACTTAACGGACGATGATGAGTTCATTATCAAAACGGTGCAACACAAAGAGGGTGAATTTTTACAAAAACTACTGCCTGGGTAAGGGAAACACCTCCAAGGATGAGAGTTAGGGAGAGAGAGAAAGAGAGGGGGGAGGAGGAGAGAGAGTGAGCTCTTGCTAATGGCTTCATTCCCCAACAGTTATTATATGAATCTCAATCAAAATCCGCGCACTCTATTGCCGAAATTCTTCGGCCTGTACTGCCTGCAAACGAGCAATGCCAAAAACATTCGCCTGGTGGTGATGAACAATCTGCTGCCATCATCGGTGCGAATGCATCTGAAATATGATCTCAAGGGTTCGACGTTCAAGCGCAAGGCATCGAAGGCGGAACGGGCCAAGAAGTCGCCCACGTACAAGGATCTCGACTTTATGGAACAGCATCCGAACGGCATTTTTCTGGAGGCGGAAACCTACTCGGCTCTGATCAAGACCATTCAACGGGATTGCACAGTGCTGGAATCGTTCAAGATTATGGACTACTCGCTGCTGCTGGGCGTCCACAACTTGGACGTGGCGCTCAAGGAGAAGCTGAGTGAGCATCGAAAGCCACTGAGAGCACCGCTGGCCGAGGACTCCGATGTCGATGAGCCGCTGGAAGCGGCCGAGGGCGATGCCAAAGATCGTGATGCGGCCACGGGCATCAGCAGAAATAAGTGAGTAGCAGAAGCAGAGAATCCAGTGCAAATGCTAAATGCTAATCCAGTGTGGCATACAGATCCGTGAATCGACAGCGTCTGGTGGCCCACTCCACGGCCATGGAGAGCATTCAGGCGGAAAGCGAGCCCATCGACGATGAGGAGGATGTGCCGTAAGTGCATTTAACTATAAAGAAATCTATATGTATATGTATATATATGTGTATATATTTCTCTACCAGACCTGGTGGCATTCCCGCACGCAGCGAGAAGGGCGAGCGCCTGTTGCTCTATATTGGCATCATCGATATACTGCAATCGTATAGGCTGAAGAAGAAGCTGGAGCACACATTCAAAAGCATTATACATGACGGGGTAAGTGCTTGCTTGAGTTTGACTGAGATCACTTGAGAGAATCATATGCTTATATATTTCCTCTTCTTCTTTTTGTGCAGGAGACTGTTTCGGTTTGTCGACCCTCGTTCTATGCTCAAAGATTTCAAAACTTTATGGCCAAGACCGTATTCCGCAAGATACCATCGCGTAAGTCAGCCGGCTGTCGCAACTGGGCTAAGTACACGTACTATAAGGCATTTTTGTGCAATTGGCAAAACGAAAACTACTTGAACATGTCCGTGTTGACATTTGAACTTTTGGCAATCGTTTTTTGCGTAGCTGCCACCCACACACACACACTCACACACACACATAATATATATCTATGGTATATCTGAATAATAGATATACCTATTCAACACCATTGTAAATCGCTAATTTAGATTAATTCAGTTTTTGTGCAGCAAAAATGCAATATGGTACACACACTTTGCCCTCTGTGCGCTATCAATCGGTAGTGAGCTAATTATCTAGTCGAATTAACTAATTAATTATTATTATCTTGAATCTCGAATTTGTGAAACGTAATTGAAAATTTGGACTCGATGTGTATTTTCTTTCTGAAACCGCTCTGTTCTCTGCTTTCTTTTCGATTACTTACTTTGATGCATTACTCTCACTTGTACGCATATAGTGGATCTCCCAGAGATCAAAGGAAATCACAGAAAATTTCGTACCTTGGTAACCAGCTATATAGGTAAAAAAACAACAACAATACTCACGAATTGTATTTTCATTTTGATTGCTAAGTAACTAACTAAGATATATATATTTACATACATATGTATATGTATATTTATTGAGTTCTTACACTTTGGTTTTATATTTTACATATATTTAATGCACTTGGTTGGTTGATGAAACCGGACGCAAAGCATGCCTCTCGATCACACGTTAGTGTTCATATCTCTAACCCACATATCCAACTAATCCAAATGCAATGAGCTTTTGCTTTAAATGCTGCGCCTACTCAATCACACCTCTTTTATGACATTCCCGCTCAGCAACTAATCTGTGATCTTTGTGGGATCTTACAGCTCTGAAGCATTCGCCGTCGAAGAGAAAAAGCCTCTCCAAGGCCATACAGCGCTCCATCGACAGCGACAATGAGCCCACACGAGGTGAGTGAGCGTTGCTCAATTGTCAAATCTCTCTCAACTCTCATATCTCCTTTGCATCCATCTCAGCTGTGCATGCGTCGCACTCCCACAGCAGCGGCAAAATCCATCAGCCATCCAAGACGTCGAACTCTGAGCCAGCGTCAGCAGCAACAGCTGCTGCTGGAGACAGGGAACGTGAACGGGATCGGGATCGAGATAGAGATCGGGATCGCGATCGGGAAAGTGGGCGACACTCGAGTGCAGCTGGCCAGAGTTCCCACTCCGGCAATGTGCCACCGCCCGTGAGGCAGCGCGCATCCACGTCTTCGGCAAGCGGCGCTGCGGCTGGCAGCAACTTGAAGGCGCGTGTCCCTCCGCCAGTGCCACCGCGTGGCTCGCCACGTCGCAAGGATGCGCAGGACAGTCGGGCGCACTCGACCACGCCAGGTACAGCAACATTCGATATCAATTCACCCACAGGCACCACAGCAGCTCCAGCCAGCGTGAGTAACACGCTGCAATTGCCCAGCGAATCGAATCCTCGCTTTGGGGAGCGTCGCTCGCCCAGCAATGTCCAGGATTGGCTGGAGCTGCACGATCTCTTTGATGTGGCGGACGATTTGAGTCCAGCGCCCGTGCCGTCCGTGTCTCCGCTGCAACGCAACCGCTCAACGCGTCGTCGCGAGTCGTTGCAGTCGGTCTACTCCACGGCGCGCTCGGAGAGCAGCCAAC